TCTTGAATTAAATCTGCTTTAAATATTTTCCCAAAACCTCCGCGCTTCAAGTCGTTAACGTTTTGAATTTGCGAATACGGAATCTATTTTTTTCCATTTTCAATGGATTTTAAGTAACATTGGAATGCTTTTTCTTCGTTTTTAGGCGTTCCAATTCCATGTACATAACAGTTTCCAAGGTTGTATAAACCAAAATATTCTCCGTCTGATGCAGATCTCAAGTACCATTGAAATGCTTTCTTTTCATCTTTTATTGTCCCGACTCCACGTTCATAACATTCTCCAAGATTACTTTGCCCCAATGGATTTCCACCTTCAGCAGATTTTAGATACCAATTAAATGCTTTCTCTTCGTCTTTTGCAGTTCCAATTCCATTATCATAACAATATCCAAGATTACATTGCCCTGCTGGATTTCCATCTTCTGCAGATTTCAGATACCAATTAAATGCTTTCTCTTCGTCTTTCGTAGTTCCAATTCCATTCTCATAACAATATCCAAGATTATATTGTCCATATCTATTTCCACCTTCAGCAGATTTTAGATACCAATTAAATACCTTCTCTTCGTCTTTCGTAGTTCCAATTCCTTTCTCATAACAACATCCAAGATTATTTTGTCCTTGATTATTTCCACCTTCAGTATATTTCAGATACCAATGAAATGTTTTCTCTTCGTCTTTCGTAGTTCCAATTCCATTCCGATAACAATATCCAAGATTACATTGTCCTTGATGATTACCGCCTTCAGCAGATTTCAGATACCGATGAAATGCTTTCTCTTCGTCTTTCGTAGTTCTATTCTAAGTAGAATAAACGATTACGTCAATTGTTTTTTTTAATAAATAAATGATTTCATAAAGTCATTAAATATTACGAGATTTATAACAAAGTTATTCAAATTCAATTAAGGTTACCCGTAATTTATCTGTTATAAGGAGAGACCTTATTTTTTTATATAATGAACGCATTAATTACAACTAGGAAAATGAAAACCTTTGTTTATTCAAAGAGAAAATACTGTATTTTATAACGTTTTACTAAACTTTAAATCCAGGTAGTGGTACATGAGTTAAATGGATCAGATTGGCAGAAATATTTATTCTTATGTAGATATTTTAATATCAATAATTCATTTGATGCTTTGAAATCTTAGCAAAGAATTATATAAAGAATTACGATCACTTGTTTTAATATTTAAATTTAATTTACAAGTTAAAAAATATATCAATAATTATTTATAAAAATTATTTTATAAAATAATACAAATTAATAATAATAATAATAATCGATTGGAAATTAATATAATATAAAAAAATAAAATTACATAAAATATATATTAGATAAACTATAATATTTGATTAAAAATAATAACAAATCAAATTATTAAATAATCAATAACTAATAAAATCAAAAAAAAAAAATTCTATTATAATATTTTTTTTTATAAATTATTATTATTTAAAATTGATATTTAAATAAAAAGTAACCGGATATTTTAATCGAAATAAAAAAAAAAAGAAATCGTTAATAACGAATTTTAAAATTTTTATTTAATCATAAAACTCGTAAAATTCAAAAATATTTATCTTGTATATATAAAAATTTTCAATTTACAAAAGTCGTTATAATTCATATGTTAAAATTTTAAATTATTCAATATCATAAAAATTCTAAAACCAAATTTAATAGTATAATCAAACTATTTTTAATTATAATACGTAATGTAATTCAAAGATTTTATAAATGGGAATGACGATTTTTGCTTGTTAAATATGTAAACATTATGCAGTATAATATCAAAAATGTCGCATATTATCAATCAGATTTTTTATATCTATACGCATATATACAGTACATACTGTATATGAAGTGTCATAAGATAATAAAAATATTATTAATATATGGAGGGTTGCGCGAAGTGAACGCATGATGATTTGTCGTGAAAATGAATTGAATGTAACACTTCAGTCGAGAGATAGCCAGAGTGAATGGAACGACAACTTGTTTCAATCAATGTCAAGGTTTAATTGTGGTGATTGCGTCGCTGTTAAAGAAAACCATCATATTTGCACGTGGTTTTTAATTAACTATACACAGGGCTGTAAACTTTTTTGTCTAACAAGATATACAGTATATTATATACAGTATCTTAACCCAGATTACTGGGAAAAGAAAGTTAGGTAAAAAAACTGACATGTACAGTATATAGACAACTTTATTTGTACTAGTTATGTGTATTTCTGATGCAGACAACGATAGTAGCTTTTTTTTTTATATTTGATAAAGTGAAGCTGGAAAATCTGCGAAATCAACAATAAATGATAAAGACGATGCAGGCTCAACAATGGGTGAGGTGGAGGGGCGAAGAGAAGTCTAAAAAAAAATGAACATTTTCAGTGGCTGTCGGTTTCAATAATGACTTTGTCAATGACAGAAATCCTCCGCAACACATCATACGCTAACATTTAGCTTGATAGTGAAAACGAGACGTTACCATTCGTCTCAATGATGATGGGAACAAAACGTCCCCAATAATAGACAATTACAAACAATCAATGACTAGATAACTAAGCCCGACATGATAACAATCGTCAATGTTATCACCATTATCACTTGTATCGCTTTCGATTATGTGGCTAACGTTAGAATGTGGCACATTGTGATGATTATGGATTAATGAGAGGCCAAGACGATTGAAAAGACTATAATTCAGCATTCAATTTATAAGAAATCCACCTCGACATCCTAAACTGAAACCGGAATCAATTGCGTTGCATGCGAGACAATATAGAGAGGTTAGCGCGTACGTGCGTATCAGCGTTAGACAGGGATGAATGGAAATTTGACGTATAATTGTTCGATTCTGCCATCATATGCACGCTTCGTTCATTTGTTTTTGACACATTTAATATAATAATACCGTACCACGTACTCGTACTACACTTACAGTCATCATTTGCTACGTGTGCATTCCATTCGAAGCGGTAGATTCCTTCCTAATTCTTACCTTTCCCTTCGATCTCTCCCCTCATTATTAGATTATTGCTAAATTCATGAAATAATGTAACAATAGATTAATCGATTCATTCATCTCATTCATTCACACCTCACCTCTTTTCTTTGACCATTTTTGAATATGTGCTTGCAACATTCGTGCGACTACTACGTCACCCTCTTTTCTTTACCAAGTGCGACCTCCGCACTTGTAACGTGGAAGGTACGCGTCTGTCGGACAACGATAACAGACGTGAAATTTTAAAAATCCGAAAGCATGCAGGTGCAAATTAAGGTGGTTTAAGGTGACAATGGATTATTTCTTGGTCATATAATTTAATTCATAGTTAGCCACACCTCTGTCTCATGTGCGTTCCAAAGAATAAGTTGGAGAAGAGATTACCAAGAACAGAAACATTATAGTAACATCATACCGGATACGGCAGGTTTATGATACGGTTATGTGTGTGCTCTTGAATAGCTCCAGAATAGTCTCTTAGAATAACGATAAATAAAAATAAATAATAATTAAGTGCATAATATTCACGTGATGAAATCCGCGACAGATAAAATAATTAAATACAAGCCACGGTGTTCGAGATATTTCAGCAGACGGACATTAAGATGCATGTACGTGCATTCAGACGCCTGATCAGTTAAAATCGACGCATCATTTGATATTTGATTGACTCATCATTACTGTATCATCATTACTGTATAATATGTGGTTTCCATACTGGGCGATTACGTAAGAGTGTGGCGGAAAATTTCGATTAATTACCTGTTGGTCCGATTAATGTCGTCGTCTCCTTAAATGTTTGATTCGTTGTGTCGTGAATTTTCTTATGGAATTTTTTTAGCTTCATTTTCAACTACATTATATAAACAATAATAATTTTGTAATACATACGTACGTATCTTAATTCTCTGACTAGCTTGGAGAAGAACGTATTGTCATTTTCTGTGCGTTACATCAATGAGGGAAAAAAAAAACATGTATTAGTACGCAACGGCGATGTTTTTCTTTAAGAACGGTCATTTTGCTATCGTCATGATATTACTAACATGATAAAGGGATTGTCTGCCATACTATCCGAATGGCATGACATTTTTTAAAAAAATTTATTGTTATTGCTTTATTTGGGAGCCAATTGATTCGAATTCTTAGTTGCAAAATTATTCTTATATCAAAATTCTTTTGCTCATCATTATGCGGATAATTTTAGATTGGTGATACAACACAAATGTGGATAATAAATATTATAATTTTTGATCTTCCGGGCCCTGTGCTAGGTTCGTTATATCACACTGTACATAATTCTTTACATGGGTTGAAAGAAAATCAGTTTTGCCACAAAAAAATGTGCGTGTGTGGTTAGCCATACATTGAAAAAAAACTTTCTGTTTGGTGCGGTAATCGTATAGTATTGGTATTGGTAGTGGACAAGAATAGAAAAACACTCCAGCAAGAGTGCAGCAGAACAATATTTCTTAAATTCATAAAAATTTTCGGCTTCTCCTCTCTCCTTCGGTTCTCTACATTCACATTCTCGCTCAAAAAGTTTTTTTTTTTTTTTCTTCACACTATCTTATTTCATATATATTATCTCAAAAAAGTGTGCGTGTAAAGAATTTTCGACCTTGTAATTTTATTTTTTTTCCTTCTGTTAATTTATACATGTATATATATTGATATATATAGTATAGAAGGATATCTGTTCTAAAAGAAATTAGTTGAAAACAGAGGGGATTTTTTTTTTTTTTTTCTTCCATCACTGAATATCTTGGTAGTGTAATACCGTATACGTCTACGTATATCTTTTTGCTACTACCGCTAGAACGGGTCGTCAAAGAGGACCTATAGTCATTTCTTCCGGACTCTACTTAGAAAACGACAAACAAAAAATTTTCCTTCGTCGTTTCCTTGTAAATATATATATTTGTTATTATTAAAAAATCTCGATATACATATACCCCTTTCCCACCCAACTTAGAATGAACTCATGCAATTAGCTCCTTCTCCAGTACAAATTCATTCATCCTTGACTCCTGCGCCGGTACTACTCAGCACAAAACCACAAGTTAAGGTCAAAAAGACATCAATTCTACCCCGTGCTTCCGCCCTTGCTCAACCGAGTAACCAGCAGACCGAAAACACACAACAGTCAACAAAGACTTCTTTACTGTCTCAACAGAAAAGAAAGCCAAAGGCACCGAACAAGGGAACCGACCGACTCCTTTCTCCCCGCAAAGCATCTTCAGGTGACCCGTCGAATTCGAACCGCATGTCTCCAAGTGAAGTATCGGTAAACGTTTTGGGTAAGTTGAGAAACGTTGCTCATCACTCCCTTCTCCTGTGTTCATCGCAAAACTATGGATCTCTACCGGGATCGGTAAAAACGAAAGTCGTGAGCCATTATTTTCCCCTTGTGGTTTCTGTGATATGGTAACGGTGTGGATTACCGGCTGGTGTTAGTGCGGGGTTTAGTGAGAATATACGTTGGCCGTTTATTATGACATCACAATCATTGTAACTTTATTTATCGGGTTATGGATTTATTAATTCAAAAATTTCCACCGTCGATAATCTCATTTCCCTGATCTACTTTCATACGCAACCAAACTTTCGATCTCATGCTTTTGCCTTTTCCATTCATGACAGATTCCGCGCAAAGATTTCATACGCCTTCACGTCGTTTGTCCAACGTTTCCAGCGCCTCTTCATCATCGAGTAACCTGTCGAGCACTCGAAGCCGAACTCACTCAGGAATTAATTCTTCGGCTAGTTCATCGATAACAAATGTTCCCGACGTTCCCGATCTTCCGTCTTGGTTACAACAATCGAAGAATTCCACCTCGTCAGGAGTACCTTCATCACCTAATCGAAAATCTAATAGTAGTAGTAGTAAAAAACCCAAGGATGGAAAATCAGAAACCACAAAACTGTTGGAACTGTTGGACTCCGCTCAGCTTGATCAATCGTCGACCACCTCTTCTTCGTCCACCGCACCTCGCAGGAAGTCCAGCCACAAGAAGAGTAAAGGGGAACCTTCTTCCTCATCAAGTACGAAAGATTCATCAACTGAAACTACTACTTCGTCGAAACAGTCAAAGAAGAGCAAATATAAAGCTGCTACGGAAGAAGCATTGAAGCAATTTAATGATCTACAGCTTGTGGAAAGTAAGATTGCGAGTCAAACCAGCGAGGTGATGGCTAGGATGAAGAATCTGTTTCAAAATAAGCAACCCAATATTACTAAAAATGATGAAAGTGATGATGATCATTTTGGATATTCGTTGGACGAGGAACCACAAAGCAAATATACTCTCTTGGGGTAATTGCCGTTGACATAGCAATGATTCTGTTTTCTCGGTTGAATAACTAACCAAAATACACACTCGCTAAACTCACCTTCGTGATAACAATCTGATCAATTTCGTTCCTACTTTAGAACTGAAAAATCAAAGATAGCGTCGTCAGTTTCAAAACGTCCAACCGGTACTCAACCGGTACCCATCAAACAACCGTTGGTTCGTCGTACCAGTGTTCAGGATATTGTGAAACCGATGACCACTAACAACCCTTCAATCGCTCACCTCTCGACTTCCTATGATCCGAGAAGAAGGGCCAACACCTTGATGGATGGTTCGGTGCTTGGTAACCTTACAAAACCAGGTAATTGGGGTCATAATCGATTCGCTAGTGATAGTGCCGGTGTTGGGGTTGCTTTGACGACGGGTGCGCGGGTGGATGTGGCGAATAATAAGAAGTCTCTGAAAAGTTCACGTTCGGAAGAGAGACTTCGTCAAGATAAACCAAAGAGTAAGGAAAAACGAAAAAATTTGAAAACTTCGTTGGAAACAAAAAATCTTGCAATGGAACAGTTGGAACAATTGGTTTCATACAACGAATTCACTTCGAAACGAACCAATAACACCAGTTCCAAGCAATTCGGTGGTAGTCTAATAAATTTGAACTGTGATGATGATGATCTTCGAGCGTATAATCGAACACCATCACCTTTACTTCCCGATGTTGGAAAACCAAAAACCATGCCAATAGCTCCACCACCCTCAACTTTGTCTTCAAGATTGCCGCCACCAATTTCTCTTCGTAACATGAGTCATAGTAGTGTTGAACATTTTTCACCGCTGTCTAAAAATATTCAGGGTATGTTCTCTAAAACAGAACTAGATATTCTAGATACGAGCGGCTCGATTTCTTCCGTCACCAACGCCAATCACAAACGACGAAAGTCTAACGTGAACGCTGCCTCCACCTCATCACCAAATTCTCCAACTCAGTTATCGCCGAAGGCCTCCAGTAGAACCACCACACCCACCATTGCACTGCACCGGCTATCTCACCCGCCACCCTCGAAAGACGCACAACCTCCACCACCCGTGCCCTCCGTGCCTCCAAGCATGCTTCCGCAACCTCGGATGATGAGGGCCAACGATGAGATTCCGCCTGTGCCTGCGTTGCCTGTTTCGATAATGAAAGACTTGGGTGCGACAAACAGTGAAAAGAAGAACGTGTTAATCACCTCCACAAAAAATGATGAATTTTCGTCACGTGAAAGAAAAGACAACAAAAGTACTGATGGCCATAAGAAGAAAACAAGGCCGAGGGGAACGGTACGTTAGTAGTGTTTCCTTTTCACTCTACCTGAACACAAAATCCTCAAGAATAGCTAGTACTTAGTTTTTAATGTAATATAAACTTAAACAAAAAATCATGGTTTGGTTTTATAATAATTATGTTAGATGACGAGCCAACAGCAGACTGATAAGATCATCAGGCGACAGGTTGGGTTTGTTTGCTGTGCGGGCCTCTTGTTAAGTTCACTTACCTTATCATTTCCTAATTCATTAAACAGACACTTCCTGCAAATATGGCTGCCCCGGCCCAACTCGCTGCTCTCACGTTACCTCCCTTCAATGTTCCGGCATTACCGCCGAACGTGAAAATACCAACGCACTCCAACCCAAATATCAAATCGAAGACCCCCACATCTAACCTGAGAATACCGCCCACTACGCCCACTTCTGTGTCTTCTTCCTTCTCAAAGATTCCCACGCCAACGCTGATTCAGCCTAGAACTCCGAAATTCGGAAACAGGTTGTCATCTCCCAGCGGAAAAGGACTGATGTCGTCGAATTCAAAGGTTGCGCCGGTATCACCCAGCAAACAATCATCCGACTCAAAATCCTCAAAGGGAACCTTACACAGCAACAGCAGTGGTACGTCACTGCCTTTATCGGGCAGGAAGAGCGCCACGACACCTAGCAAAAGCAATGAGAAAGGTGAGGCCCTCATTTCTTTCTTTTTTTAGGTAATGTGGGTGGTTTTTTTAAAAGAGTAACGATTCGACGTGCTATCTTTTGCAAAAATTTCAGCAAACGGTCAAGTCACGAGGTCACTTTCAAAACGTCAAAGAAGACTGTCAAGTACAATCGCCAGCATATTTTCTTCAAGTAGCAAAAGCAGCAATAATAGCAGTTCTACCTCAAAGACTCCTACAAACAATGGCCTTTCAACGAGTTCAATTATAGGTACCCGAAAACCCAGAACTACTTCTCAACCTGCCCTAATTAGCTCACCAGTGTCGTTGAAACCTCCTTCTGGCTCTTCACATCAAATGGAAGTAGACTCTTCCTCTTCTTCCGCTAGTACTCCCAGCGGCTATAACAAGGTTTCAAACTATCCAGAAGAGGATCACGTTACCAGCAGTGAAGAAGAGATAAGCAGTTTCTTGCACGATAGTAGAAAGAAGGAAAGAGACCGAAGGGAACGAAAGGAACACGAAACGCAAACAAAGAAAACGACTCCAGTGAGTCCTAGTGTAGCGCTGAAAGCTTATGCGCCATACCTATCTTTGTACGAGCGCACCGAAATAATGTCCTATCCTGAGATCTATTATGTTGGACATAACGCTTCAAAAGCTGCTGCAAGTCCTGAACTAACCGGTTGTAACTTTGGGTTTGACGACGCACGGGGCGATTACTTGGTTGTCACCGGTGATCATCTGTGCTACCGTTACGAGATCGTTGACAGTCTCGGCAAGGGTTCCTTTGGGCAAGTGCTCAAATGTTTAGATCATAAGACAGGGGAATATGTTGCCGTGAAGATTATCCGTAACAAGAAGAGGTTCCATTGTCAGGCACTAGTCGAAGTTAAGATATTAGAAAACTTGAACAATTGGGTAAATAATTCGTGGATTTTTTTTTTTTTGTATTCCTCTTAAATCCATATTTACATGTTCGTAAATGTCAATCGGCTTTTCTTTTCATTCTTCTCAGGACCCCGAGGATTCTCATAATATTATACGCATGGAAGATCATTTCTACTTCCGAAACCACCTCTGTATTGTTTTTGAACTCCTTAGCATGAATCTCTACGAGTTCATCAAAAGCAACGGCTTCCAAGGATTCAGTCTTGGATTAATAAAAAGGTGCGTTCATATTTCACCTCTCACCCGTTGAATATTATTCTTACACATAAGCATGAGCTCACCCTATTTTCCAATGTTTATATACACAGATTCTGCGTTCAACTACTTAATTCCCTGTCGATGCTTCAGAGGCACAACATAGTACATTGCGATCTGAAGCCAGAGGTATCTTGAATTTTGAGTGCTCACATCTGATTTTAGCGCACAGTTTGTCAGACACCTATATTAACCTTTTCGATGATGTTAAACAGAACGTACTACTCAAACATCCTACCAAGAGTAGCATAAAGGTTATTGATTTCGGTAGCAGTTGCTTCGAGAACGAAAAAGTTTACACATACATTCAAAGTCGATTTTACCGATCTCCTGAGGTCATACTGGGGATGACGTATAATATGGCAATAGACATGTGGAGTTTGGGATGCATACTCGCCGAACTTTATACAGGTTCATACAAATTTTCATTCTAACATCTGGTGATAATCGAAGGTGCACATTGTTTCTCAAAATCAATTAATTTCTATGCTAGGTTATCCGCTGTTCCCTGGTGAGGGTGAACAAGAACAGTTGGCTTGCATTATGGAAGTTCAAGGCGTGCCGGAGCGCTATCTCATCGAAAAGAGCACCAGGAAAAAGCTATTTTTTGGTAATTTCAGACTCACGATATTACTATCAATGTCATTTTCAGCTGTTCCCTTTTTTAAAGATCAACCATTTATTATTCATGACCCCCAGAACCAAATGGAAATCCCAGAATAGTTACAAATTCAAAAGACAAACGTCGACGACCGGCGTCGAAGACGTTGGCAAGTGTCCTGAAGTGTCAGGACGAGGTCTTCTTAGACTTCATATCTCGATGTCTCCATTGGGATCCCGAAAAACGTATGAAGCCTGACGAAGGATTAATGCACGAATGGATCACCGAAGTCAAGCTTAGCGTGAGTACTCGGGTGTCAGAAATCCTGGTTTAACGTTAATTTGTGCGTGCATTGAACTTTCTAACCTTTTTTGCAATCTCAGACCAAGAACTACTTCACAAATTACGATCTCATGAGAAGGCAAAGTCCATCGCTGATACCACCATCTACCAGCAGTGCGTCTTCGAGGCAAAACAATTCCTCGAGCACTCGTGCAAATCAGATCGCCTCGCAGTCAAGTTCGTACGGGATCCAAAAGAATTACACCACTTCTTCAGCGGCTGGCTCCATTCATTTTACTTCTAGTTCACAAGCCTCCACACGCAGCAATGGTTTAAAGCAGCAATATGGAACCTCGCTTCCAATATCGTCTGGTAGGAATGATGGAAGTAACATAACGGTGAGTGTACAGTAAAAAAAAAACACCGAAAAATGAAAAATGTGAAGCAGCAGAGAAAGGGTCATACCGGTTGTTGAAACCTGGAAGACACCTATGGTCCCTTAGAAAACAGACGTTCTTATAGAGAAACAAATGGTTATAGATTAAGCATAAAACTTGATACAAAAGCTCTTGATAACGATATAGAGCTATGGAGAACGAGTGTAAAGTAACACCTTCAGTGGAGATTTTACTATAGTCTTATGTGCAAAATCCATTATCGATGAGATTCACGGGATGATGTGTCAGATTGAAAATGAGGACTCATCACATATGCGATATTTCATGTTGTGTTTGATGATTTCTAATATATGAAATTTTATTATATTGCATTTATATTTCAGGTAAAATCGAGAAAAGCATTACAATGATTTCTGGGTCGGATTTCTGAACAAATTTTCTTTTTCAAAAAAAAAAAAAAACTTTAA